ATACAAACAATTTTAATGGATGAAAACTTTACTTAAGCTAATGAATGTATCATGTAGCTTTGTAGATGTTGATTTTGATCAACACAATAAAAACTCACTTGGTGTTGTTTTACTTATATCTTCCCATTATTATTTAGGACTAAAATTGATCAGTCTCATGTTGGCATATGTGCATCCTGTGCGGATTGCCTCCATATAGTTTTAAGTCACAATCTTTTTAAGCCAATATGGATAGTGGCTGAAAATGGAATCCAGGACGCGCGTTTCGTCCTATTTGAGACTTTTCAGCTGGTTGTACCTGCATTGCAGAGTTGATGTTCACTTCGGGACCCGAATCAAGTACCTTTTGCCTCAAACGCCACTTCGTTATCCACTTAGCTACTGAGTACTGATGGCCACCTGTTTGTGCAATGGGGTGAAGTTTAAATTCACTTGGTGTTGTTTTACTTGTATCTTCCCAGTGTTATTTAGGATGGAAATTGGCCAGTCTCGTGTTTGCATATGTGCAGACGGTACTGGGTTTGAGTCCCAAAGTGAACATCAACTCTGGAATTCTGGTACATCCAGCTGACAATTTCTACATAGGGCGAAACACGCGTCCTGGATTCCACTGCTAGCCACTATACATCTTTGCTTACAATAAAAACTCAATAGTTGTCATATATTTAGTTTCAATAGTTGAGATCATGAGTCAATTGAAGCTAGACCACCATGGAAAACTTGGAAGCATTGAGTGTTGGAAATAAATATATTATATCAGAGAAGATTTAAATTTAAATATTCTAGGTTGTAAACAGCTTATGAGAACCTGATGAAATAAAATGAATTTATGTTATTCTGTTGGCTATTATTATACAAATATGTATTCTTTAAAAATTAATTAATTGGTAATCTAATACTATTAGATTTTCATAATCCATGTATTCTACTTTAGTATTGGAATGATAATTAATCTCTACTAGTCAACTACTCCACTTCAAGTACTGTTTATGGCGTGACACGTCGGTAGTTAATAGAATGACTTCTAAGTGTTAATGGGTCTATATTTAATCTCGCGTTACATCTAGAAGATAGGGGAATATGAGATAACATTAACCAAAGACTTCAAAATCACATAAGATGTACTTACACCTAATACGAGAAGTACTTGATAACAACTAGCAATGACATAATCGTGAAAACAAGTTAATTCACTGAACAAAACTACGTAATGATAAAGCTAAATATTCCACTGAGTTACAGTAACTCAAGTTTATAGCTTATTCCAGTGAAATTTGTTGAATTACCGAATCATGTTTAAAAATTATCTACACGGTGGTTTCTTCATAGATTAATAGATTAGTGTCTCTTACTAAACAAATATAATTATATGTCATTTTGCGATATTCATATGTACAATGAACAAAAATGTTTTATTAATTCTTTTTTACTTCTTAAGAGTCCGATGAAGCATTGCAAGGACAGCTTATATTTCTTTTGATCATTTTTTAAAAAAAAAAACAGCAATTGAATTCTTTCAGAATTCACTAACATAGTTACCACCGCGGACTGATCTTAACCGAACAACTATTGGAAACCAGGAAGAACTCGGTGATTATTTTAGTGTTATGTGAAACTCTTCGATAGTGCACATAAGCCACCCTACCATAGGTGATTGAACCCATAACCTTCAAGTTTCATGACGCAGCTCTAATCCTTAGATAATTGATGAGAAGTCCAGCGGTTCTTAGTTTTCAGTAGTCATCTAACGAAAATCGGTCCTTGATTTAACTTACGAAAATTCAGCCATCTCCACAAATTTCCTATGCCCATTTACTAATAGTCATACTTAGAGTATTTTAAGAAATTATAGATACTTTGTTTTAGTATTCATTATTTTTCATTAATTTCATCATTGACATGAAGGCAATTAAGCGTCATCTTGAGGGTTGACTTTCTAAAAAAATACTTCATCAGTCAATTAGAGGTATTTCAACTAACAATGTGTAGATGATTAATGATGATAACGATTATAATTTTTTATGGAATGGATAGATTTAACTATTAGTGGAATCCAAAATACATATTTCGTTCTATTTATGCCTCGTCAGTTGTATGGATCTCCATCTTCATGTTGATGTGTATGTTGAATGTCGGACTTCGTATTAAATATTTGTAAGTCAAGGCTATATTAATGCAATTTCCTCACCATTCAGGTCCCTATCTTTCTTTCGCTTTCTCTCTCTCTCTCTCTCTCTCTCTCTCTCTCGACATACATGTACATATGAATGTGTGAATTAATTGTTCAACTGTTTATTCAATGAACTTTTCGATTTTAACAAAGTAATTGTTATATACTTTCATTGTTTCATTACAATAATCTTGGGGAGGTGGGTTAATGCATTACAATATTGCATTTTGTAGTGAACTTACATTGAAAACAGAAAAAAGAAACAATACTTTAATAGTACAAACAAGAAAGAAATAAATGTAATAAAAATCACGAGACTATTTTATAAGAAACAAAAAAATGAACTTGGTTTTTCTCTACTTACAATTAAGATGAGAACATCACTATTATTATTAATAATAATACTAATACCAATACCAATACTTATAAGAATAATAACTATATTAGTTATTATAATTGTAGTTGTATCCAAGTATCATCCATATCCTATTCGCTTTTCTTATCTTCCTTTGTGAAATTGTAAAAAAATTTTCTGATCCTGAACTACACTTAAAATACAAATATTGATCATATGATAAATAACATATTGGTCAATGGTTCCCCCCAGTTAGTTAGAGCAGTTCATATTTTACCATGTTACTTTAAATACATTTTTTTGGTTATGGGACAAAACAAGAAATTAACCTTAGTTACACTTTCTCTACACATAAATATATACGGTATTTTTATTGGTAGGCAAAGTTTATGTTGCTAAGGTGGATTGACTGATTTTTATTGGTTGGAAAAAATTGTTTTGTTTAGTAAAACTCAAAAAAAAAGAAAACTCATTTCTAGAATTTACATTACCTTTGTTTGCTTTTTAATATTAATCCCATTAAAATTCATATTTAACACATTTATACACTTAACTCATTCATATACATATACAAACAAAGGCAACAATTAACATACATGAAAAGAGAAGTTAAAATAAGAATTAATGCATCTCTTATTGTTTATTTATTTATTATTATTATTATTTATAAAATATGATTAAAAAGTGAGAGAACGAGAGGGGGGGAGAGGGAGAGAGAAAAATACTTTACCGATGGGATGGATTGATAATAGTAATAATAATAAAAATAATAAAGTGTACACATTGTTACCATTGGGCTGAACCAACTAGCCATCTGATAACCTATGCAATAATAATATGGATAGCTCTATACTGGCTATTGTTTTTGTAATAATCGGTTTATATGTCTTTTAAACACTTAAATTTGTAAGAAACTGTTCAAAATTCAATTATTCAAAGAGATTTTCACTATAACTATTCTCGTTTTCTTGTTTATCACCTTAATAATTCGATTTTAAGTATTTTGAGTCTGATTGATTCAGCGTTTGCTTATAACCCTTTACCAAAAAATATTAAGAAACTAAGGTCAAATAAAGGTGTGTATTTATGTATAATCAATGATTGAAAATGTAAAGTTCTGTCAGAGAATCTTAAAGAAAAGATAAACTATGTTATGAGTTCAGTAAAAATGGTTATTGATTTCAAAATCTACAGGTCAGGTAAAAGGTTTAGTTTACTGGGGCCTTATTTCTCTATATATTTAAATTTCTTCTTCATTCAATACTGATTGTTAAGGTCATGTTAAAGAAAAGTTTCCAAATAACCGTTTTCATGCATGGTTTATATTGTGAATAGCTAGAACTTCTTCAATTCACTGTACATTCTTAGTGCCCCCAAATGCGCTGGTACGACTGACAGTGGGGAGAGTCAGCTGTCCCACTCGAAATGCTCCCTCATGGTCACATGTATACAGCCACTATCACGAAAGTCGTACTGCCTTCTCGCTGCGAGGGTGCTGTATAGGAAATTGAGAGGACGAAGAGCGAATGTCAGGAGCTTTAACTGGGTTGGTGGATATGGCGGACCCACTTAGGGGAGTTGAAAAACCCTGATTTCAAACCAATGGCGAACATTTTTCCAGGATCCTGAGAGAACGAATGCCGTATGAACCAATTATTGGTCACCGGCTACCATGGGACTGACATTGCCTCACTGCCTTGTGGATTATGCTTTCAAGTCATAGGCTCGGGATGTGGCCCCCTAAGAAAACCACCCGCTTCGGTCTGGTCACCCGGGCCGTATCATAGCCCTCACACAAATCAATGATTACTACTAGCCTCATTGTTGTTGTGTGGTGCATATGTATTTGGTGCCCCCTAGTACCGATGTTTGTGTGTTCAAATAAATAATGAATATCTTGAATTGTTTGTATAAATATGGTAAATAATTTAAAAAGTTAAATAATATGTTCAATCTCCTCAATCAAGCACATGTTACAGAACGCAAGATATTAACCATTTCATTTACCATTCTTAGGAAGAATTCCAGGAGGTGGCCTCACACCAGGCAAAGAATAAATTTAGATATATGTTAACAGTGAAGATCTTCAGAAATCTCAACAATATCCTTCAGCTATATACATATGAAAATAATAATTTATGATAGTTGAGTTTATTCAAGCATAAAATAGGATAGGGTTGTGAACCGGAAGTCCTGAATTCTAATCTCACGTGCGGGATCGTAGATATGCACTGCTGAGAGGAGTTCCATACCAAAACGAAGCAGCCGTCCAATGCTTCAAGGTTTTCAATGGTAGTCTAACATTGAATGATTTATAATTTCAATTGTAAAGTAGAAGTTTCACCTTGTCAATATAAATTTTTTTTCTTTAAAAACTGAACATAACTGGAAATATTTCATTTTGACTTGTTAATACTCTTCATAGATGACATAATCATTTCTTCACATTAATCACTTTTATGTCATTCTTTATAGGTAATTAATTAATTTTTATACAAACAGAAAAATGTTGTGCAATCTACCATGTCGAATTGTCTTGATTGCTATGAACACTGTCAGCTTGGTAAGTTTCATGTAAGAATTTTTATTTCTATATGTAAGTGTGCTCGTTATTGTTCTTGTATATATATAGGATGTGGTTTGAATAATTCTTTCTGGTTAGCGTTTTTTAGCGAGTTAGTTTTCTACGGGATGGGGTCGCTAACTCCATGCCCAACCCTCCTCCTTTACTCAGGCTTGGGACCAGCAGAAGCCCCAGAGGGGCTCCAGGCGGAGTTATATATATATATATATATGGTCTCATGCATTTCATTCAATAACATAGATACACTTAATTGATCCAAATCAAAGTGATACAAAGAATTATGAATTGTAGTTCTCAGAATAAATATTCAAAAGTTCACTATTTTGACAATTTAATTTTGTCTAGTTCACTTATTTACATATGCCTTATTTTGGATATTGTTACTCATTATTTGTGTATTCATAACTGTAGAGAAGGATGGTTGAAGTTGTTGAAAAACAGTTGTTTACCCATATGTTCCTCATTTTCAGATATATCTTGAAATGTTATCACAGTACAAAAACAGAGTGAACTGATATTGAACAATATAAACCTGTTTATTTGTAAATAGTTCAAATTGAAAGATAGTGATCAAAAGGGTAACGGGTGGAGATTTTATCATTACGACTAATAGTATTTTTTAAATAATGGAATGACATTACCTGTGTACTCAATGAAAATAAAGGATCATTTTCGAACAGCAGACTATCTAAAGCTATCCAAAATCAAAAAGTAATCCATATGATGTCGACTTACCTAAAAAAAAGCGAGAGCGATAGCTTGGTGATAAAAGCACTTGACCTTCATTCATTAAATATCATCAACTCTTACATAAATAAAGCAGCTCAAATGCAAGTACACAAAACTATATCAGGAATTCAGTCACTGAACAAACAGCTCAGCGGTAATATCTCATACTGTAAATCAAATGATTTATGAATGTTTAATCCAAAACATTAGTGAAACAGTTTACAGTAACTATTCAACTATTGAAATTATTTCACAATGAAAACTCTTTTTGAGTAAAATAACATTTTTAAAAAAATCTAATATTAAGTTGGGAAGGAAACCAGCTATTTAACAGTAGAAATAGCTATATCCTTACTTACTTACGTCTGTTACTCCCAATGGAGCATAGTCCGCCAACCAGCACTCTCCAACCCACTCTGTCCTGGGCTTCGGGCTCCTCTTGGGCTACTACCGGTCCCAAGCCTGGATAAAGGAGGAGGGTTGAGAATGGGGTTAGAGAAACCATCCCATAGAAAACTAACTCGCTAAAAAAAAGGCTAACCAGAAATAACTTTATAACTACAATAAAATTGTCAAGTATGAATTAAGATGGTGGTCGGAGGCAGTCAACAGGAAAACCTGGAGCTAGGTTTTGAGTTACTTGGCACTCGTCATCAAGGTGTACCTGTAATGTTGAGGGAACTGGTGCTCTCTAACGGATTCGATCCTGTGTCACTCAGCTTCACAGTCAGAGACGTTATCACTGAGCTATCCGGGTTGCCACTAACCTTCTGTAGGACTGAGATGTATTTATAATCGATTGATCACTGGGTGGTGATCAATGTTATGTATGCCTGTGTACGATTGTGTATGACTGTGAAGCTGGGTGATACTAGATGGAATCCACCAGGGAGCATAAGTTCCCTCAAGATTACAGCTACAGCTTGCTGACGAATACCGAATAGCACAAAACTTAGCTCCAGGGTTTCCTGTTGACTACCTCCGACCACCATCTTATCTCAACATAGTGCATGCAATGTTGAGTCACCTAGACTGATAGCCACATTGCAACTAGATCGATAGGATTCAATTTGCATTAAAAAGGATCTGACATACACGACATTGATCACCACCCAATGATCAATTAATTGTAAATATTAATTACCGTAATGTCACATTGATGTTCTAGAACATTTCAATCATAAAGTCAATAATAATGTACACATTTTGTTGAATTCATAATGTAAATAATTGTTATTCTATTTATCAAATTATTCAAATCATCAAATGATTAATGTTGACCTTAGATTAGCATTTCCAATCATATTTATACAATAATTTTAATGCTAATTATTGAATGAAATAGATGATCAATGTCTAATCAGGGTTTATAGAAAGATACAACATTTGATAAACATTTACAATTTTTTTTTATTGTTTAGAATAATTTTCTTGTTTTGTTATTGTTTTTACATGAAGTAGAATCTACATAGTTTTATGATTTCATTGAAATTATAAACTGATCTAAGTTAGATCATCGTTGAAAATTTGTCAACACTGAACAACCATTTCGTTTTAGTATAAAACTTCACAGCAATGTATGTTCATAACCTCACCTACGGAACTCGAATCCAGGATCTTGAACCTTGCACGTGAATGCTTAACCTTCAGACCACTAATGTGTAACCTCAATCAATTCACGATTATCACAAGACGATTATGTAAATAATTACTCACTTTGATAAGTTCCAATAATGTAATAAGATGAAGATTATCAGAACTATATGATATATTAGAGCAATACATTTCGAAAAATCTGATCACATGTATACTTGTTCGAAATGTATTGCGCTAATATATCACATAGTTCTGATAGTCTTTGTCTTCTTATTACATTATCGAGATTATGTAAGCATTAAATAAGTTCAACTTATTTCCAAAAAATGAGTCATTTTCATACAATGAATCCATACTGGTTTATCATGACTACTTTCTAGACTCTTACTGCTACAATAAGAAATAAGAATTTTAAACATTGAAATTGCCTGTTGCCGATCTTGTTTATAACCATTATGCCCTGCCATAGTGAGTGATATTGGCTGGTGTAGAAGTAGATTGAAAGAAAGATAAAACAGCAAATCATAAACATGGCACCAGTCCGTAAAGTCATTAGCTATTGGCCTGTTGCACGTCAATGTAAATGTAGAATTATTGCTTATGAACAATCGGACAATCAAAGTCTATTAATGGAAATATTGAGAGATATCATTCAAAATAAGTTATTATCATTTCCACTTCCTAACTTCTCATGTTAATCACTTCTTCTCTCATTATGTTAGTGTGAGAAATAACAAATTAAACTGTTATACAATTACATCAGGTTATATAATGTCTATGACTGAAAGATTGTGCAGTTCATGAATTCCTTTTGGTGAAAAATCCCATGAAATATAATGTTTTTGTCCTTTCTATAATATGTAAACCATAGTCAGACCGATTCATGGAAACTTTAGTTTTATTCATATACAAACATGTTATTAAGTTCAATATACAACAGAAATATCTTGAACAAGGGATAGAAATAGCATATTGGTAAGTATCTAAATGTAGTGTTGGGAAGATTTGTTTTTATTTAATCCTGAATAAATTACCTATATAAGCGAAGATGGATGGTGGCTATCAGTGGAATACAGGATGTGCGTTTCATCCTGTTTGAGACTTGTCAATTGAATGAACCTGCATCCCAGAGTTGATGTTCACTTCGAGACTCTATCCCAGCACCGTTCGCTTCAAATGCCATCGCGTTATTCACACGCATCCTGGATTCCACGTCTAGCCACTATCGATTTTTGCTTATAATGCTTGTACTTAAAGCAATATCGAGGCAATCTATACAGGATGCATATATGTCATTAAGAGCCTGACGCAAACAAACAACATAAGGTGAATTTAAATTACTTATATCTTTAAAAAAAGATTGTTCTAGTCATTTCAGTGAAAGAATTCACTTACTTTTAATGTGTTCTATTGAGTTTCGTATTACAGTTCAACTTCAAGAAGGAGTTAAGATGAACCAAAATAATGATATGTTATCATAATGTTTAATATTGAAACAAGTTTATGTCATTTTTACATGCAAAATATTAATAAACTGTACTCATCAATCTTTTAAAATAAAGATTGTAGGGCTGGCATTGCTCATACTTGGTGCCTTGATGGTTTGGGGTCAAAGTGTTATACAATCTCTATTGAATAATTTCATAACCAATCTAATTCATCAATATATTAAAGGAACTGATGCTGGACAAATTAATGAACTAGTTACAAGAATACTGACGTCTACTTGTAAGTAGAATATTATATTGTTAATAAATTTTCCCGTATTATTTTGCATTTCTGGTATCAATAGTTTATTAAGTTAACCTAATGTGTTTTTAATCATTCAGAGTAACCATAGTGAAACACACTGAAGATAGGAGAATAATTTAAGTAACTCAAGAAAATTATTAGAAAATGATTTACGTGTGAATAGTAATCGAATTGAGATCTTAAAATATTTTTGAAAAATATTAAATTTTCATAATATGATCTGCTGTTCAATTTAGTTGCCATACATATTTGTACTGCTTGAATAACTCAAATTAAGTGTAATTAATTGTACTTTTCCGATACACAGATTCTTCATGAACAGTATGTTAGTTGACTAAATTCAACGAGCAAAAAAATGTAGCAAAGTATGTTCAATTTTTAAAAACATACACGCTAACATTTAGAAGCACAATATTTTATTTCGTTGTAGAAGTGATGTTAGCTACTTGGGTTGTACGACCTATTGTACTCTTGAACTATTTAATTAATTGGTTACAAAAGTATAACAATATGGATGGTACAATTGTAGTCACCGCTATTTAACTGTATCATTTGTTGTGAGATACAAAGATAGCAACTATACTCACGTAATGTTGCTAATTACGAGTTTACAAGCTCAATAGTATATAACATCTTCCTCGTCCAGGGTTGAACGAACAGGGTTCAAATCTCAAACCCAATTCCTAATATCACTTTAAACCATAATCATCTGTAGGTATTATTCGTCAAAAACTAACTTTAATTAGGGCATTATTGGAAACTAGAAAGAGTTGGATAACGATTTCATCATAGTATGAGATGCTTCAGCACAACGCAGTCACTGCCATACCAGGGTTCAAACCAAGAAGATCTTGTAGCGTCTATTAACCTTCCGGTTCATTATTTTACTATTTCAAATGTAAAATATAGTCATAAACATTCATTATCATTAGTAATCATTAAATGAACAACAGTATGGTCTTAATTTATTTCAATATTATATATTGAATGGGATTAGGCGAAAACATTATGTATGACATAGAGACCTATGAAAATCAACTGAATCAATATTATATACCATATCAAAATTAAAATTCGATTTAACTCGATAAAATTATTAAAATTGAAATGTATGTCACATATTTTTTTTGTGTGTATTTTGTCTTTCATAGTAGTAGTAGTAGTAGTAGTAGTAGTAGTAGTAGTAGTAGTAGTAGTAGTAGTAGTAGTAGTAGTAGTAGTGGAGTGTTAACCTTTATTTTTCAGTAAAATATCCAATGTATATATGATCATACAATTTTAGTCAATCTTCTTTTTTAAAATCAATCTAAACCTTGTGAACGATTTATTATTTGAAAATTTCATAAACGGAACTTAATTCTGATTGATTTTCGATTAAATTTTATGTTCCTTATTTATTGACATATATGATTTAAATTTCTTTGAATTGGTCACAAGTTAATAGGTAACTTGTAGTGGCTTAGTAACCGTTATTCTATAAATCTTAATGGTGTTTGAAGCGGCGACTACAGATTATTAGCAGATAGCAACGATAACTAAGCTACAAGCATATGGAGCAAATTTTGAGCACAGAGGTGGATATATGTGTGTGAGTAAATACAGAGGTGAATTTATCGTCAAATCGAATAAGGATACATCTAGGCAAGGCAAAGGCTAACAATAAGACTCGAGTACATATATACATGGCAAAGAAAATGATTCATCGAGCGATATTTAAGTTACCAACATTTAAGCTGAAGATATATGCATAGGCTGTTACGTTATGATTGAGCGTATATGTTTATACAAATAAGATAGTAATCATAATGGTACAAAGAAATATGCGAATTGTTACTGTTCCAATAAAATTATCCGTTAAGTAGGTTAATAAAAAGTCTTAACCAACATTAACCATAATCGAAACTGATTATAGGAGAATCGCTTTAATCTCTAAAATTGTTGAGCATAAATGTATAAGCTTTCATGTAAGGTGAATATTATCGATTTAAAATTACACTATATCACAAGTGGAATTAAGTTAAACATATGACCTATTGGAATCAAACTCAGTGATTTAAAAGTATTTTTATTCCTATGATATGTAAAGGATCTTGGTTCTTGAAATCCATTGATGGATATTAAGGATATTGGAATTTTTCAAGAAATTAGTAGTATGGAGTGAGATACGTACCACAGATAAAGATGGATTATATTTGTACAATACAGTGAAATAATTGAAGTTGGAATTGCGAACTAGTGAACGTCAACCCAGCTGTTCAAAGTTAATAAGGTTACTGGGAAACTCAAAAAGGGCAGAAGTTTATTTTCTGACTTGGTCGTCAAATTACTTCCCTAAGAAATCCACCACTTGAACTAAACATCAGTCATGTGCTTCTTTTTTGTCAGTGATTCTATAACTAAATTCAGTTTGTCAAATAAACTATTCTTAAATCATAACAACAGATTAATATATTAACAATATTCCAATCAATAGAAATATATTATGATTACAAACAATTCATTCTATGTCTAACTTGTTTGAAACGATCACGTCAAAGTTTGATATTGGTACAGCTCTATTACATCTCTGTATAATCAATGTAAAACATAAACAAGCATAACATTTTTACATGTGTTTTAAGATATGTTCTTGTTGAGAATAGGTTTATTAAATTTTGAAATTAAAGTACAGTATGGAAACTTATTTATTTCATTGTAGATCAGATTTCTGGAAGATCATATGTAAATAATTGTTAATATCCACAAAAACCTCTTCTCATTATTATTTAACATATGCTCACTAGTGACTGACTTCAAAAGGTATTTCCTGGAGATCTAGTGAGAACCAGTGACAAGTAGAGCTCAACCAGGTTTGTTGTAGGATATCAGCTTACTGAAGACAATGGTGTACGGCGCCGCAATTTCGTGGATTGATTGAAGTTAGACATTAACACCGTTGGATGCCGCCTGCTCAGTGGTCTAGTGGTTAGGCGCTCACGTATGAGACTGATAGGTCCGTCCAGTGCTTCCAGGTTTTCAATTGTGGTCTAGCTTCAATTGACTCATGATCTCAATGACTAAAATTCAAATAACTTACAAGTTGTCTATGTTAACGGATTAATGAAATTCATTTGGTGAATATAGAGTGGTTATATCCAAGTCTGTTATAGTACATGTAGACCAGTGGGGTGTCTCTCACTCAAATGTATCATTCATAGAATGTTTTGATTGAAATAAAACTTTAGACAAAATAAAAGAGTTTCAATTCTTATTAATTTACGTAGCTAATATAACTTACAATATAACGATTAAATGCTAACATCCGACTGATTCAGTATTAAACCATTGTTTCAACTCAATACTGAATGTTATTTGAACTTGTAAACATAAGCTATACTGATTCCTCACTCTGACTATCTGTGAAATTTAATTGATCAAACTAATGTATTAGTATCTTCCGTATTCAGTCTGTGAAACATGAATAGATTAGATGCCAACTTAGGTATGTGTACAACATGTGATTCACGTATCATCACCATTCACTCCATGATTTCATTTCAACACTTCAATTTCTTCGACTTTTAACATTTAGAGCAAAAATATTGTTGTTTTTTTGTTCCTGTACATACACTTTATTTGAATTCTCAGAAAGTGAGTACCAGCTCATCTTTCTTCCCACAATTTAGGTTATTTACGACCAATAGTTTGAATGTGATTTATATCACCTATGAATTAATAATTTCAGTTAAATCATAAACATAATGCCCTTTATAAACAACGCCTGTCGCTACTACCAATTGAATGGCTTAGTGAAATCGTTAGATTGGTGTCGTTGTAGTGGCTTTACCTTTGGACTGATGCTGAGAAGATAACCTAATTTGACTTTTTAAAGGAAATAAAAGTTACAACAAGGTTTCCGTACGTAAACCTGTGGAAAGATCATTATCATGACCCAAAAATATATAATGAAACATTTACCTGGTTTCGTGTTAGACTGCTTAGTGGCTTTTACCATAGGCTTCAGCGGCTTAACTAATTTTTCTACTCATTGAGATATTACAAATATATTAATTTATTTATAATATTTAATTATTTATATTTTTATTATGATCTTTACTGTTTCTAGCTCCAGTTGGTTTAGCAGTCTTTATACTAGGTGCTATATGTACAGGTATCTCAATATTTGGTTATTGTGGAGCCTGTTGCAATATGAAGATACTACTTTATATAGTAAGTAAAAATAATAAGTTTTATTACATTAGAATGAAAATCAATTAATTATTTACTTTAATTGGTGTTATTGACTAGAAAATAATCTTTAATTGATAACTTAATGATAAATAAAAATGATTACCATCCTCCCCCCCCTACTTATATAAAGTTTATGAATGTTAATTGGTATTTTGTTTTTTTAATATTTAGTTTTTCAATTTTTTTTTACATCCGTTACAAAGAAGAACCGGATTTTTATTTTGATTCTATGTTTAGTAGTTTGAATATAGTTGATCATGATGATGACTAATTTAATATAGACTTTTCATATGGTTACAATTTTAATTTAACTGATTTGATTGACTGAATGAGAAAAAATTCTACCTTATAATACCGAAAAAAGAAACAAGGGGGTATAAGGTTAGGATGTGATCCAAATTTGTTTCATTTTATATTTCTTACAATTTATCATGGATAGTGAATATGTATGGAGAATGCTGGTGAGTGGCCTATACTCCCCCCCATCAGGGGTAACAGGTATAAATAAATAAGTTATGAGTATGTAGTTGTCTTACCAAGAAGAAACAAGCTAGTTTATTAAACATCAAAAACAAACTTAAAGTAAGTATTTTTACCAAGATTTGATTTGATAATTTCGACTAAATTGAGCATTGGGTAGATTGTTATAAATAAACAAATGATAATATATTTGTAATATCCCAATGAGTAGAAAAATTAGATCAATCGAAAACATGTCTGAATATATTATTCTTGTTGTTCATTTGTACTATTTAAACTTGGATTAGTTTTAATTTGGTTATTTATTCTCTGAAGAAGTGACTTACACTAAGTCACGAAACGTCAGAAAATCTAATCTTTCTACTCATTGGGATATTACGAATATATTTTTATTTATTTATTTAAAACTTAAAGTGAGTTGTCCCATTAATTCACAAGGGTTGGAGATAAACTCTACATTGTCAAGTCATTTAGGTGTATCGTAGTCAGTGATTGCAGTTATGTTTTCGTTTATTTAGTCACTCAATATTAGATATTTTGGAGGTGTGACTTTTGGTATGCTTTAATTTTTCTTCCATCATGGCTAACTACGTTACACTTGACACGTCCGTAGCATAAAAGTGCAGTAATTTTGTTGTAGAAAACTATACATTTTTCATGTAATCCAGCAAAGACAACAGAGAACGAAACACACCCTCCATTATGGATCACGATGATGTAAGTAATGATTCTCGGTTTATTTTTGGTTGGTTTCCAGATGCAAGGTTAGATTAGTGAACGAGAGCGGAGTTTATCCCTACACATCTTGAGGAAACATAGGACTTCTATACTTGGAGTAGATTATTTATTCTAGCCAAATTTATAATTTAAAATATCATAAAATTCACAGTAGTGATAACTGAGGAAAACCAAGTATTTAACTGCTTCTTAACAAAATTGTTTTAAACGTACTTTTATAGATATATTCGACTAAATACATGGAAATATATATTAGTTCAAATTTAACTGTGTTAGAACTCCTAGGGATCTATTCGCTTGCTTTTAGGATTCTTTGAAATCATTTACATTTTAAATCTCCAGATCTATATTCGTTACATTATCAAGTCAATTCTACTAGTTTGACTGCAATACTTTAGTCGACAAAATATTGTTATTCCTTAAGACTAGATAAAATGATACTCTTCGACAAATATTTATTTCATAGATTGAAACAACATGTAATTGGCTAAAGTTACACTCATATATTCCTTTTTAAGAAAGAAGCAATATGAGAACTTCTTTTTGGGTTATGAGAGCGATAGAAAATAAGGGAAAGCTAGACTAAGAAGCATTTTCATTAACTTGGTCATGGTTTATGTAAATAAAAAATTATGAATCAATTCACTGATTATTGAAATACAAGCAAGTATTTTGTATATTTACTACGAACTCTAGGCTTTGATTCCTACCTGAACTTGTTTCTAACGTACCATACTGTTATAAGAATTGAGATTCGTGAATTAAGGTTTGAACTCATGACTGAGTTTATGAACTAATAATTTCCTGAGAGGTAAACTCAAAATTATATATACATATATATCCCACTTTCTATATGATAAAAGACTCATTCAATAGATCTGTCGAAATTCCAAATGACTAAAAACGAGAATAGCTGAACTAAGGAACTTTAAAAATATTGATTTATAAAATAGTTATATTCACGAATCAGTACAAATTAGACCACCATTGAAAACCTTGAGGTACTGGATGGCCGTTTCGTCTTAGTATGTGACTTCTTAACAACGCACATCCCGGCACAGTGGTCTAGAGGTGAAGTGTTCGCGCGCGAAACCGGAGGTCTCGTGTTTGAGTCCTGTGTGCGGAATCGTGGATGTGCACTTCTGAGGAGTCCCACGCTAAGACAAAACTAGACATCTAGTGCTTGCAGTTTTTCAACCATCGTCTAGTTTAGATTGACCAGTGAATTCAACTCTGAAAACACTACAATCTCGACAAATTCTCAAAACTGATTATGAAACAAGTAGATAATAATGATTACGGTTTCATGTTTTTTTAATGTGTCGTGAGTTTTGACTTGATATGTACAGGTAACGCTTAGTCATTCGTAAATAATTGTACATGATAGTCAGAGCAACTAATATATTGAAATAATTTTAGGATCTGCAATGCACTACATTACTTAATGACCCAATATAAATCAGCGCAAATAGGTAAAAATTTAAAATATTAGTTACTAGCCATAAACTACTGAATTTTTTATATAAGTAATACCTCGTGTTTTATTTCTTTTCTTGTATTATTACCATTCACGTTGTTTCTATGACAATTACCTATCTGTTTCATATTTATTTCCATCCAGTACGCAATTCTAGTAGGAGCTTTGGCACTTGCTTTTCTCGTCACATTCAGTGTGTACTTCTCTCGTAAAGATGAGGTAAGTTCTACAACTTTTCTAAACTGAATCATTAAATGTTATGATTAGTAGACTGATTACACGTTTTCGTTTATTCAAAAGACATAGGTTCACACTGGAAGAAAGAAATTTTTAAAATAAAAAGAAATAAGTGTCTAGTAATACATAAACCGATATAAATCCTGCGGAAAACTATTTCAATGATTATTCATACACCAACAATCGTATCATAAAATATTATAAATTCAATAATTCAAGGTAGTTCTACTACTAAAGAATAGAGAAAAAGAAAGTCACTAAAGTGGATGACAATAATAATCTGATAATTTTCGGTTAACTCATTTACCAGTTTCAGGATTATGTCTCTTAAGTTTGAACCACTCTGTTTATGAATAGGTTGGTGTTAATGATCAGCTGTCTATTACCGAGGTAGATGAAGTGGGGGTTCGAACCTGCAACGTACTAAATCAAATGTAGATTATTTAACTAACAAGTTACCATCTTCCAAGATACTAATGATTGTTCAGGTTGAACAAATGTGATCAAAAAAGGAAAAGTATTGAAAGTGTTTTGATTTGAACTTAAAGCTTACTAAATACATATAGTAGTAATTAACTGAATAAGTTGAACGTATAGTTATATGAAGGATATGTGGGGATTGTTGTATTTCCACCGTTGAAATCGCTAGTCAGTCTAAGATCGACCACCACTAAAGCCTCAAAGCACTGAGCGGCCATTTCTTCCCAGTATAGGTCTTCTCAGCAGTGTTCTTCCACGATTTCGCACGCCCAAGTCTTTCGGTTGAGAGTTTATACAGTTTCGAAGAAAATTCCATCGTTGGCTGAACAGCCAAAAGTAACCCAAAGGTGTCACAGTCACTAAAAACCCTTGAATATTCTTGACCTTCAATCCAGTGTAAATTTATGAATATATATTGCTAAAGAGTTTGAAAGCGGAACGTGCAAATTTTTCAGTACTCCACAGTTTCTAATCATTCTTTAACTGTTATTTATTAATGATAAAATGGTCATTAGAACAAATATTTCTGTTATGATGATAAAAAAATACATATGTTTAATTAGGGAGATATGTTCAGCAATTTTGGATGCCGGATAATTGGTCTAGAGGTTAGGTGTTCGCACGCGAGACCAAAGGTCCTGGGTTTGAATCTCGTGTTCGCGATCGTGGATAAGTACTGCTGAGGAGTCTCACACTAGAACAAAACGGCTTTCCAGTGCATCCAGGTTTGCAATGGTGGTCTACCATTTATCGGTTTATGATTTCAATCAAAAAAATTTGCATCTAGTTTTGCAATTACTAGTATAATTGTATCATCAATACATTGGGTTTATAACATTGCATTCCAAATACCTTAATTCTGGAACATATTATTCCTGACAATAATAGTATCAGTATTAAAATATATTGATTTTCTCTTTTAGCCGTCCTAATTTGTCCATAAGAACGGCTTAAGTTTTGATACATGTGTATGAGATTGAGATTGTAAGAACAAATCTATTGAATGACATTTAGATAAGCGAGTCAATGAATCTTTAATGAAATATGCAATTACAATGCTGCTATCAAATGAAATAGAAAATTTGAATAAAGCATCAATATTAATCATAATACAAGAAGGATGCTTACTAAGTAACATGTAAAAATATAGGTTTAAAAGTTTTAAATAACTATACTCTCCACTATACAAGCTAATTGAAAGATTATAGATTGTTAAGAGATATCGCTAATTATTCAAACAAAACTCTAGAAGAAGAAAAGTCCTTGTAATACTGTAAAAGAAATACTATCGTTGACGGATACTGAAGAAAATTTGCAGCAACTCATTTATGTTATTCTCTAACCTGAATGTCTCAACACCTTAGTAGTGAACAAGAACACGAGTGGGGACAATAGAATGTGTTTAAGCACAAAATTACAGAACATCTTACTAAAATCTGAGAACAATACAGTAAATACTTAATTTGCAAAATATCAATCGATTGTCTTAAACTGTTTTTGTACAATTACCAGTCCATTGTCTCAGATTTTATTGTTCGTGCATTTTCATACCAATTGCTTTCCGTTCTTATCCTTTCCTTCTCGATCTTCTACTGAAATACACTCTCTTCCTGACCATCGTTATATACTACTTATGTGGATATAATTAGCTCACACCACATCTAAACTTCTAGACCTTCAAGGTTGTCAGTAACCCATGGTTTGTGTATATAAACTAACTTTGATCATCAGTTATCTGGTTTCGTTGATGATTCAGGTGTAGTACAGTATAAGAGTTTGTAAATAGATTAGGGAGTTTGTGTAGCGTGCTTTCAGTGCACCGAACATAATTTCTTATTATTAGATCATGTACACCTTGGGTAAATCTGTTCTTGTTGGAACAGCTGAAAAACCAGTTAAATAAATGTGTTAACCGTTTTGTATTTATTCGGTTGATTATTATTTGTGTACATTTTTTTATGTGTGTGTCATGTTTGTGTGTGCCTGTTTACCTTAATCACTGTTGTTTATTTGGACTAAATTAATAGTTCATGTATTGATTTGATTACCAGATTAATCCATATGCCATACGGTTGATTCATAAATCACTTTACTCATCCTAATGATTGATCAATAGATCCACAACATATACAACTAATACTTCCAACACAACTACCATCAAAAATGCACAGGTATTTATAAATAATTGTTTAAGAAAAATACTCCAGATTTGTTAGCTAGGTACCATTGGCACTAACCTACTAAAACAGAAAAAAACCCGCTTCTAGCTGAATAGGAAATTAGGAGGAGACTCTGGAGGTAAATAGGACTCACATTGTGGAAATAATCAAAATAAATCACAATGCGATTGCTAACTTGGAATTCTCAAGGGAAAAGGAAAAGAGATAGACCAATGAATACATGATCTCAGGAAATTGTAGGCAGACATCAAAAGAGTGAAAACGAGTTATGGGAAAACTGGGAAGAAGAAACCATGACATAGTTGGGAATTGAAACAACTAGAGTCAAAGAAGCTTAAAACTTATACAAACATCACTGGTATTTAAAACATTCATAAAATCACAGGTTTGTTTATCTGATGTTAGATGAAACCAAACTGAGTTTTTAGCGAAACAAATATGGGCGAAGTTATTCCACAAAATTTAACTATTATTTTAACAATTTTTAACATCTAGATTGGCAACAAAGCAGTTGAAATGTTCGATACGAGTGTAAAGAATTATCAATCCATGCAAGCAAATACATTGGACAGTCTGGTGGTTGGCCTAATCTCACCTCAAGTAAGCAGGTGTACTCCATGTTTTTTTAGTAATGATTATGGTATAATTGATATATGAAATATCAGTGCGATTCTCTCTAGATGCAAGTACGTCGATAGGGAATGACAAATCCCAATATGTAATCCCAATAACAAAAAGACTAAAGCCCTTACGTACAACTGCATATCTACTGAATACACTAGTGCAAACAGTAGCTTCTGAAATGATATGTTGGAATTCGATACTTGGTTAAAACTTAAGTGTGAACGTTTACACCGAGATGGAGGTACATCTATCTGATGAGTCCCAAACAAAACGAAACGTACGTTTTAGATCCTACTCTTAGTTATAATCTAAATGTACATATTTCTAGAGACTGTGAACATCCTGATAAAATCTTTCTAACAAAGGACAATCGATTGATCTCAAATTCATTCAATTACATTTAGAAATAATATTTAATGTTCATCATTTTCATGAACGAAACGAAATAATTCAGTGAAATAAATTAACTTCTCTTAATTGACTAATCAGACTAAATGAGTGAAATAAAGTACAAATTTATAAAACATTGGCTAAATATCACGTGATTTAATCATTGGATCATAATTCTACTTTTATACAAAAGCACTTTGTATGATTTTGTATAGCTATAACTTTTAATTGGCACTGCCAACTTCGGCTTTATTATAAGAAAGCATAATTTTCCTTCATGTTAGGGACGCTAAATCCTCAGAACTCACTTGGAAAAGAATCTAATTTTGTAATTTTGTTGAGAAAATTTGAATTACTTTGTTTTCTCGTCAAAAACGCTCTTGTCACCTTTTTGTAATGCTTACCACTTGAGAACTATCTTAAATGCTATTGGTCCGTTGCATCTTTTAGTATGCTGGTTGGTAACTCTTCCCAAGGACGGTTTTGTACTGTATATATACGTTTTGATTTGTGTTTGTTGTGATCCCTCGTTTCTGGCTGTTTGCAGAATATACTTCCCCATTCCAAACTTGGACTTGTTCCTCTAGTTAGCGGGGCTGGGACGCATCAAATAGCTAGCTTATTAGTTTTTGGTCACTGAGTCTTTGTTCCGTTCGCAGTCTAAGTGAACTCATAACCGCTTCAAACCTAGAGCCTCACAACTTATACTTGTTATTCATCACTCATCTTTGTCGCTTGGTATTGTGTCACTAGTGACATAATACAAATTATGTGCCTTGGTTCATTTCAATAGCTTGACTAGAATTACCTTTCCTCAATGTTAGTATTTTCATTGAATCTCGAATCACTTCACAAATCAGAGATCTAGTCATTTTAGTTCCGAAAATCAATTACGCAAACATAACACTTGTTATAACAAGAAGTAACATGTGACAGTTGTAAATATTTATAAAACTGTTTGAAATGATAGATATTGTGTCTACATTGAAGTATCAATACCAATATAGATTTGAGGTCCACTTACGTACCAAGTCTTGAACAGAGAAGAATATGATTTTTTGATTACTGCTCCCTAGTTATTGTCCACAATAAAAGCAAATAATTATTATAATATTAATGAAGCCAGCTTTTTTTTCTTTAATTATCTAATGACTAAGTTTTATTGATGTAGAAATGTCCTTAATTAGCAATCTTGGACAACAACCGCACACTTGACTACATGTCACATCTAAGACCCCAATTAACCTAATGAAATTCTACTATGTGCCGATACGCGAATCCATATTCTTAACATTGTATCAGAGCTGCGAATACTACCTGGCTGGTGAGGCAGAAAGTGAATGAAGTGAGATTCAAATCTTTAACCTAGTTATTGTCTGACAACTGTTATACTCTTCAAGTCATCACAGTCTTCAGAATTTTATGTATAACCCAGAAAAAAATACTTGATCATTATATTGATCTTTAGATGAAATAGGCTGAATCAAGCATTTCGCAAGCTAAATCGTACAGTTTCCTGGTGTGACCCAGCCACACGAGTACTGAAAAACCTAATGGATCTTTATTCCTAAAATGTTTATAAGGATTCAGTACAAAGAATTTATAAATTTATTTATATTTAGTGTTCTACAAATAACAGATAGATCACTATGTGTTTATTTATACGATAATCCTGTTTAACCTTTCATCAATACACTTTTTTTTCTCATAGCTTCAATGTTGTGGTGTGGATAGTGGAAATGACTTTACAAATTCACCTAATTTCTGGAAAAATGACACTTACGGTGGTAAAACATACAGCAGTAAGCGTTTCTCCTATTTACTTTTATTCCTCTTTTACTCTGTGTCGAAATAAAGGCTTGAAGTGAGATCCAAAGTCAACAAAATAACTGACTTACAGTCACTGTATACATATTTTAACAATAAGATGTTGGGGCTACTCAATAAAAAAACTCTGAACTTAAATCTTCTGATGGCTACCACATGCTAGTAGGCTATATATTCAATTAAATACATACTTACTATGTTATACACTCAGAGAACGCCAATTAAGAGGAGGAAATAACAGTTGAACTTGAGATTAATAAAATTAATACTAAGTATTTTATTTCCACAAGTCATTGTAAGTCTAGATTATTAATACCTCTTAAAGTTCATTTTAAAAATGGATTGTTGATGAATTTATTTAAAAAGAATTAGGTAACAGTTCAATTGGCCTTCAGCTATCCTTCATTATTTTTCAAATAACCTGACTTGAAATCGGAACAAACAACCACCCCCACCTCTTAGCGAGTTCAAAAGGACATAATTTAATTTAAAGAGGATGAAAGCACCAAGGCCTTATGAGTTCACTCTATATGTCTTTAGGAATGATGATTCAGATGTACTAGTTAGTTTGACTAAGATACTGTGTAGACATTGGGAACTGAATGGAACTCTACATGACTTATTCGTCGTGGAAGTACATGCACTTGTAAAGGTTGTGTACTCAATCACAAATTTCCCAGTCAGAGCTTATGAAGAAATGTCGCCAGAAACTCCCTTCAAGTGGTGTTCTTCAGGATTGCCAATTCTTCACTTTTTTAATTAATTTTGTCACAGATATCTTTCTGGAAACTACACTTTCTTCATCTAACATTTAAATGATCATTCTCTTACAAGGAGGTTCTCATATTGATTTTGAATATGTAGATTACATAGCCATATTTTGTAAAGACACTGACAAAACACGTTCTTCAGATCATGTTGAGCAAAAATGTAAGCATTTTCTGAGTGTTCTTCGTCCATCCTAAGTGATGTCATCATCAGAGCACAACGGTATTTCAAATATACTAAAGATATTTGGGAACCATATTCTTTGTAAAATAATACACATAAATTATGACCAGAATAAAGTACACTACGTGAAGATATGTCTGATTAGTTGAAGGGCTTACATTTCTTCCCTTATGATACATAACAATATAGATATTGGGTCAAAACAATATCAGTAAACCTAAGATATAAGCGCCCAAATAAAAAAAATCGTTTGCCTATGTAATGCCATAATATACTTTAGTTTGATTAGAATATTGCATAATATTGTAGATAAAATTGTGTATATTGGTATTTCACAGTTGTATAAGTTACAATAGTTTTCCATGTAGGTGTTTATTATGATTTTTGTTCCCTTATGAGTATTTGGTCAATCCATAGTATATATATTTTTATTAAATGTTGTCAGTAGTAATAAGTATGTAGTAATCATTTTTAGTGTATCATAATGTTTTTATCTAATAAAATTTAATCAGTTAAGGTTGCAAAAACTATCAAACGTTACTAATAAATATATGTATATATGTATATATATCCCAATGAGTAGAAAAACTGTATTTCTGACGTTTCATCACTTGATGTAAGCCTCTTCTTCAGAGTAAATAAATAACCGAATTAAATTAACACAAGTTTAATTAGTACAAAGGAAATAATTCATAGGGTTATTTATTTACTTTGACGAAGTGACTCACATTAAGTGACGAAGCATCAGCAATACAATTTTTCTGCTCATTGGGATATAACAAACATATAGTTATTATTAACTTCCATTTTGTATTGTTTAAATATTCCATATAAATTCACTTCATCTCACAACACTCGTTGTGCTTACTTTACAAGTATGTAGTATAATGATTGATTTCAGCTATTTAGCACTTCGTACAAATGAACCTGTAAAAATGTACCCTAGAATATTAAGGCTCCGTGATAAAAATGATACTATTCACTTACATTATTGAAATCTATCTAATCTTTAATTATTCTCCAGCTGACATTATCCTGTGATGAAACTTATCTTCAAAACTGAACATTCATCCCAAAATAGGGATTTTATTTATCTCATCATACTTTGGAACACTGAATGAATTTAAATCATTAGTCTGGAAGTTATGTATTTGATAAGTTTTGTCGATTGAACACTACTTGTTACATCTGGTCGTCGCTTTGGAGATGTGACGGGAGTTAATAAATTAACTTCGAAATTGCGTACAGAGCTGGATAATGATTGCAAAATGGATGAATGTGTCAGTGAAAATTTACATGAGTCCTTGACAAGCAGCAATTTAAACGAAACAGTAGCAGTCATATATAATCCTTCCAGTGGTTCAAGAATGTTCATTTCAGAAACATATCCTGCAGTGGGTTCAAATCCCATTATCCCAGAAACACTATATACGAGGAGCGATTTGTCCTGCTCACAGAAAGACGCGGTTATGCTAAACGCTCATGAAATTGTTACAGTAATCGCCACAAAGAAACAAAGAATGAATCAAGTGGTATAATGAAAACAGTTGCCTCAAATAAAGCTCATCATTCTACGACAAAAGTTTCTGATGACTCTACTTATCAGGGTTCTCTAGGTTTTTTTTTATCAGATATGAGTTATCTTAATGAATCACATGTTTTCGATCAAATTTCTTACAAAAATGAGAAAAACATGTCGAATTTATTAAATGCTGATCAAGAACCTTTGGAGTAAAGTGTTTCTTAGATATTTTGCGTCTTTTCTCTCGTGTTCAAGTCGCCGTGTAGATTTATCCTGGAGGTTATTAGAAGAGCTTAGGAACAGAATCTAGAGTTGAATTAGCAAGACTTATGAGTATCTTGGTTAACGATATTATCTGTAATGAATAAAACTGTTGTTTTATTAATAATAAATTATATACCCTTCCTGTTTACTTTCATTACAACATATAGATATTCAATATCCTGTACCATGCTGCAAAATGAATCAAAATTATGCAATCACTGATCCTACATGTCCAGATAAATTTGATGATAATAACAGTAATTATAAAAATGGTTGTAGAGGTCCATTGAAAGAATTTTTCCTTAAATATATGGATTATGTAGCTTATGGATTAATTGGGGCATTTGTTTTATTGGTAAGTAAAGATAATGTTTTTGAAATTAATTTCGAGTTATTTTTGTCACTTCTAAACAATTATTGAGTGTTATTTCAATACAAACAATAGAAACATGGATTACGATTTTGTTTCTTCTTGACTGCTAATAAGATTTAGAAAAAATTTAGACTTTTACTTACCAAGTGAATCTGTACTATGGTCAAGCCAAGAACGTTATTGATTTCGGCAGCATTAAACTACGGTTCTGAATTATTTGACTGTTTATATTGATAATATCTGATTTCAGTTCAATCAATTTACTTAACTGGTAGCTAAGATCAAAATGTAAGGATAAAAGGAATTCAGTTTTCATATTTGATCTAATTACGTATCATTTACATCTACGCAAAACTGGTTTTTTTTAGAGATTCACATTCGTTGGAAAATAGTTTGTTAGATAGAAACTGAGTAAAAGTTCTAAACGTTTCAAATTTCCTTCTTTGAAGTAAATAGCATATTTAATTTTGAATAGCTCCTGAAAAACTGAAACAATCATCGATTTTTTAATCTTTGATTGATGTTAAGGGCATTAGCATATATGTATTCTGTATAGATTCCCTCGATATTGCCTTAAGTTACAAGGATTATAAGCAAAGATGGATGGTGGCTAGACGTGGAACCTAGAACGCGCATGTATAACGCCATGGCGTTAGATGTGAACATACAGGGTTGGAGTTTCAGAGTGAATATCAGCTCTGGGTTGCAGGTTCATTCAACTGACAAGTCTCAAATAGGATCAAACGCGCATCCTGTATTCCACTGCTAGACACCTACTATCTTTGTTTATGAAACAATTATATTATTCATAATAGTCTTTTTTGAGAATTTAAGCGGTATTTATATGTATTCCAAGTATGCTACAAATGGTAATCAGTAAGTTTTAGTACATCTGCACTTGTGTAGGTTGTTAGCATTGTAAGGTTTATGAGAATGTAAACAAAATGAGACTAATGATACCTAAACCATCTACCGCGTTGTTTTAACTGAACTACAACATTTATGTTATAAATAAGTTTGACTATTAGACCAGTCATAAAGTTTTATACAGAATTCTCATACAAATATTTTTTAACTCGTCAGATACGAGTAGGATACTTGTTGAGTTGCATTAGTATCCGTCAATAATTATTCAACGATTGAATCTTGAATTTATCAATATTGACTTTCACTTTGAAAAACCACTACATAGATTGTGCGTTAACCAATCATTTTTTTTTCCACTCGTTACATAGTAAATTTATTTCAGAGTTAGGTATAGAGGTTTGTATTTATTAACTGGAATGTACAAATATTCATACTAATTAATGAATATGATTCAAAAATGTACTCATCCATTATTTTAAAAATAACTGTTATCAGTACAGATGAATAGTTGCTATCAGTGGAATCCAGTTTTACGTGCCTTTCGCTCTATTCAAGACTCGTCAGCTGGATGTACCTGCATCTCAGAGTTGATGTTCACTCTATGACTCCAACCCAGTACCGTTTACTTCAAACCACATCCACTTAGAGCATCCTAGACTTCACTGCTAACCATTATCCATCTTTGCTTATAATGCTAGTGAATCAAGACAATATTGAGACAATAAGCATAGTATGCACATATGCCAATAACAGACTGATCAATTGCAGTCCAAAACATTAATGGGAAGATTCAAGTAAAATAATACCAAGTGAATTTAAATAACTGTTATCGTTTTCTATCTATTTAAAAGATATAAAATGTTTGGAAATTTCCTTAATAAACTCTATAATTTATGAAATGTTTTAAAGTATAGATGAAACTCAACATTATTGAGAATATTAGAAGTTATAGATGAACACTTTCATCCATCAATTAATTATAACAATAGTTGAAATCATGAGTCAATTGAGGCTAGAGCACCATGTAAAACCTGGAGACACTGGACGGCCGTTTCGTCCTATCGTGAGACTCCTCAGCAGTGCGCATCCACGATCTTGCTTCGCGAGATTCGAACCGAGGACCTATCAGTCCAGCACGCGAGCGCCTAAACATTAGACCACTGAGCCGGCATCCAACGGTGTTAATGTCTAACTTCAATCAATCCACGAAATTGCACCACCGTACACCATTGTCTTCAGTGAGCTGATATCCTACAACAGACCTGGTTGAACTCCACTGGTCATGGCTTGTCACTAAAACTCCAGGAAATTTTTTTTGAAGTTAGTCACTAGTGAGAATAATTAACAATCTTAAAGGTGACTACTTAATTAGATTGTTTGTATAATATCAAGATGTATTTTCGTCTTAAACTAATAACAATATGAAGTCATTTGCTTCTGAAAAGTTCTAAGCTACTGCTCAGAAATCCCACAATAGGACGAAACGGCCGTTTAGTGCTTTCAGGTTTTCCATGATGGTCTAGATTCAACTGACTCATGATCTCAACCATTGAAAGAAACAATTGCCTTACACTGTCTACGGTTGCAGTATAACATCTCCTTATACTAATCCATGATAAAAATTATGTTTAAAGTAAATAATTGATCATCTACATTTCAATATGATTTCTTTCTCAATGATCTTTTAAAATTATATTAACATATCGAACAATTATGTTTTATTAAACTGTTTTTTTTTCTTTTTTCCAGTTGCTCGTTGTTCTATTCACACTTTTAACCATTTGTATTGATGTTATATAAACAAACAAACAAACAAACAAACAAACCGACAAAAACAAACCTAAATGAAAGGGAATTCAATGTTTAATTGATTTTAATTTGTTTAAAAATTATTAAAACATAAATAATTGTTTGTCTATACTCGGTTAAGAGTTAAAATACTCAAATAAAGTGATCTCTTTTGTTGAACTTTGCCTTTAAAAAAATAATAAAATAAAGTAATGCCTTTGCATAGTTGATGTATACATCTATGCTTTTATGTATGTATGTATGTATTTATGTATGTATGTATGTATGTGTGTATGTATGCATGTAGTTGACAGGTTCACTTTTCACACTTCCAGTCTCTTCATATGACATTTTTTTATAATTATATTATTATTATTATGATTATTCATTGTATCACTGCTGTTATTATACTCATCATTCATATTATAATGTTAAATAATCAACAATATTTCGCAGAATAGAACTGATATGATGATGATGATGATGATCATCATCATCATCATCAACATCATGATCAACATTGTTTATTACTTTTCTTTTTATCTTTCTTTCTATGAATTCATATTATCATTAGTTATTGTACTTTGATTATGTTTAATTACAATGAATGTAATTTATATAATTATTATTGTTACACAGTTTAATTCAACTCTTACTGATAGTGTTGTTGTATGATGAAATACAATAATGTAATAAGGTGGTTACCACTTGTTCTCAAATAAATACACACACACTCTCTCTTTTTTATTATTATTATTTGAATAAATAAGTCTTTATGGTGTCGGGGAAATAAAAAAAAAAACAAAAAAAGAAGCCTATTTCTAAACATTTATGTTAGTACTTGATAAATAAATAGACATTTGAATGTGAAGTGATTTTTGTTTTTTTCTTGTTAATAGATTTCTAAGAAGTTTATATTAGTATATTTGAAATGTAACTAAACAATGAGATCCAGAATCTGTATATATAGTACATAAAACTAGTTAAGAAATATAGATTACAACACATATGTTAACATTATTTTTTAAGGAATTAATCTGACCAGTTATCGATAGAATGTTTCTAACGAATTAATAGATTTTGTTGTGTTACTAAGTGTCTGTGTCATAGTAAATTGATAGTATATATATAGTTTTTAAAGAATCCTCACAGACAATGGGATCACTTACAGTTATCATTAGTCTATGCATAATTAACTCAGTTATAGCTCCCGAATGCCTTGGTGCGGCCGAGAGTGGGGAGAGTCAGCTCTCCCTCTCGAAATGCACTCACATGGCCACGCGTATATAGCCTCTGCCAGGGAAGTCCTACTCACTGCCTTCTCGTGGTGGGGGTGTTGTTTACGAAATTGAGAGAACGAAAAGCGAATATCATCCGACGCTTTAACCGGGTTGGTGAACATAGAAAGTCCACATAGAGGAGTTGGAAAACTCTAATTCCAAACCAATGGTGCACATGGACTCCAGTATCCTGAAAGGACAAATAGCGTATGAACTTATTTTTGATCACCAGCTATCATAAGACTGCATCATCTAACGTTACTCCACTGCCTTGTGAATTAGACCTTTAGGTCAAAGGCTCCGCGTGTGGCCCTCTAAAAAAATCATTTGCTTCGATTTGAGTGCCCTGTCAGTATCCCAGCCCTCAAACACAAATTGGATGACTTATTGTGTGACACTTATGCATTTTGTTGTCTCTTTGTATCAATGTTTATGTGTTTAAATAAATAAATAAAAACTCAGTGATAATGTAAGCAAATAATTACAATAACAAAGAAAAAGGATACATATATACTGAAATATGATAATGATCAACAAGATGTTTTCTTAATAGTCTTTCAATTTTATACCATGTAAATGCTTAAGTTCCATGTCCTAATCGGGGAATATGAACAGAGCCTGAAAAATAATAAAAATAGACAAGTACAAAATCTAAAATATTATTAAATGTCTCATTGATATTTAAGGTATTTTTAAGTATAGTCAATCAATCAGCTACAACTGCCATACCTCATTAGCACAAATGAATAAGTCTTTATGGTGTCGGGGAAATAAAAAAAAACAAAAAAAGAAGCCTATTTCTAAACATTAATGTTAGTACTTCATAAATAAATAGACATTTGAATGTGAAGTGATTTTTGTTTTTTCTTGTTAATGGATTTCTAAGAAGTTTATAATTGTGTTCACATTTCTTCACGGAATTAGTACTTTTACAAAAACAAAAAATTTCCATATATATATATATATATATATATATATATATATATATATATATACGATTGTACAGCTTGATCATAAATTCGTTGAAAAGAGATTCCTTTGCATCCAACTCTTATATTAGTATACTTGGAATATAACTAACAGTAATATCCAGAATCTGTATTTCATCCTATGTGAGACTTATTAAATGGATATTCTTGAATATTAATAGTGATATTAACATTGAGGTTTTAACTCATTACCTATTACTCTAAATTCTAATTTATTAACCAATAAGTTAATAAGTTAAATTATTATTTATTTATTTATTTGAACACATAAATATTGGTACAAGAGGGCACCAAATATAAATGCGCCACACAAATTTTCATTTTATTTGTGTGTGGGCTGTGATACTGTCCGGGTGCCCAGACCGAAGCAGGTGGTTTTCTTAGGGGGCCACACCCCGAGCCTTTGACCTAAAGGTCTAACCCACAAGGCAGTGGAGCATCGTGAGGAGATGCAGTCCCATGGTAGCCGGTGACCAACGATTGGTTCATACGCCATTTGTTCCTTCAGGATACTGGAGTCCATGTGCCCCATTGGTTTGGGATCCGGTTATAGCGCCGGACATTCGCTTTTCGTCCTCTCATTTTCGTAAACAACACCCACGCCACGAGAAGGCAGTGAGTAGGACTTCCCTGGCAGAGGCTGTATACGCGTGGCCATGTGAGAGCATTTCGAGAGGGAGGGAGGGCCCACCCCACTCTCGGCTATACCAGGGCATTTGGGGGCTAATAAGTTAAAATAGCCTCTTGAATGATATTTCCTTGCAATGATGTAGATTATTCATTGATAGTGATTACTGAGAGAAAAGAAAGAATCAAATAATTGTTTTGTAATGTTTTCAGTTGTTTGCACCCATGAATCCATATAGCATTGAGTTAAAGCATTAAAGTAATTGAAGATAGGATGATCCTATTTAGATAGTGAATTGGGATTCAGAGACTCATATTTTCTAACTTTTTGATAATACAATACCTTATTATGATGTTTAGTATAGCTAACTGAATTATTTTCAATTAGGTTGAATCCAAAAGTCACAGTTTCCTACTAGAATTTCAAGGAATCTATATAAAAAATAATTACTGAGGAATGAGCTGTTAATTTCCTAGGTGGTTAACTATACATCCAAAGATGAACTTTAATCAGTTGGTTCTTTGAGTATTCTCATAGATGTTTAGACTTCAGTTAACCAGTCTCTTTAACCAATCGTGATATTTTGGACTCGTTAGCTGGATGTACCTGCATCCCTAGGTTCATATTCAGTCCAGCTGATGAGTCCAAATTAGGATGAAATGTGCGTTCTTGATTCAACTGAAAGCCACCATCCACCTCCGTTTGAAAAGTTAACCTGACTGTTTACGTGTTTGTACATAGCAACTAGTTAAAATGATGAATTACTTTCTTTCAGATCAAACCTCGACTTCCAATTACATAGATCATACAAGACAGAACTAATAATTAACTGACTCAGCGTACACATATGTATAAGCTGGTATAAATATTTAACAATAATAGCGTGGTTACGAGTTACTTTTCAGTTGAGATTTGAATAGTAAGGGAAAATAAAAATCAAAAAGTCACCATCCGCGCCGCTTACTACTTATACTTGGAAAAAAACGAGGAACCACTACAACTCCCGCAATGTGAAGAAAGAACACCAAGACTGGTACAAGTGAAGATTTATTAAACCCAAATCACGATGCGGACGATCCTAGTCGAAAATACACTCATTTATATATTGATTGTACACCCATTTTGATTATTAATTAGAATAAAGTCCCATATATGAAAAAATACTCATAGTTATGACAAGATCACATGCTGTATATTATACTCAGCATATTTCATGCTAAGTTAATGCCGTGGACAACTACACTACACTCAAATAAAATTAGTGTTATACCAAATAAAATATCACACTGGAAAATAAAAACAAATATTACTGTGAATAATCATCATATGGAAAGATGGTTGGTGGGAAGATACAAGAAAACAATACCAAGTGAATCAACGTATAGAATTAAAAAAAGGATGTTTAAGCAAGAATCACAATGAGTAAAACAATATGATTTTGTCTTCCAATCACGTTGTATCATTTTCAGACGGTGAAGGATAGGGAGTGAAGTAGTCGGACGCGTCGAAAACTTCACTTGGAAATTTGGTTAGTCTTAATGTGTTGATGTCTAACGAAATTTCTGTACAAATTCAAAAAGCTCGTCCGGCATTGCCAACTTACGTGACCTATGGAGAAGGCGAGATATTTGTCTATCAATTAAGTGACGAGTATATAGTGCAGCAGTTCGTTCTGTTCTACTTTACGGACGTGAAACGTGGCCATTAAGGGTAGAGGATACTTGTAAGTCACTAGTATTTGATCGCACATATCTTAGAAGTATTGCTCACATTTTCTGGGATCACTGGGTAAGTGAGGTTAGACGCACGGTATTAGGGAATGACTGTAAAGCAGTTGGTGAGGTTGTGGATCTTCATTGACTAAGGTTGGGTCACGTGTTACATATGCCCGAACATTGGTTACCATGACGCGCACTGATGACCAATGTTGGAGTTAGGGGCGGCCAAACCAAAATGTGGCATCAGTCCATAAAGTCACTAACTTTTGGTCTGAGCGATATTGGTAGATGCAAACTACTTGGTTGGGGTCCGCGCAACGAACCTAACCGGTGGTTGGAGACTCGGAGTGACATGGTTCATGTGTATACTCTGTCTTCCCTTAAATTATGAGCTTAA